TAGATCATCATCAGTACAATGACCTTTGGATCAAGATCATTGTCTTCTAATGGTAGACTTGTTTTGGATGTGGTGTGGAATGCTTAAATGGTCAGTGCCTGTCTCATCACATCTGTGTTTGCAAATGCACAGGATATTATCTAGGAAGAGATTAAATAAACTGGGTTCTCATTTTCTTGTTATACTCTGATGAGGTTTGACATGTTTCTGTACTGGGATCCTCATCAGACATGTAAGATTTTGTAGATTGATACAGTTCCTCTATTAGATCAATACATTCAGTGGATTCAGGTTTTTGGATTAGGCAGTTTCTAATAGATGGAAAATGAAAGTTCCCTAAAACTCCATTTTAAAAACTCATTTTTTTTGATGTGATATGGAAAATGTGACAGGACTTTCCAATTACTAATCTTTTAAAACCAGAAAATATATATATATATATATATATATAAAACATAAAATTAAGAATTCAAAATAAGAGTAAAAATTTTCAATTTCCTTCAATTTTTAGCTTTAACATTCTTTTCAGATTTTAAATTTCTTTTTGACTTGAAAGTAATGTCCATGAGAATACATACTGCAGTAACAGTTTTCAGTGATTAAATCTTTGACATTTTGAATGCCCATCAGTTTGTCATTTTAGGAAATGGTGTGTGGAATCTCTCTGCACTTATTGTTATAATTGACATTTAGGCTAATCAGGTACCGAGAAGGATATTATTGAACTAGAATAAAATGTTCTAGATGAGTTAAATATATTATTGACCTCATCAACTTTTGAGAATTTTAATTTCAGAATTATTAACTTGCATATTAAACATTGTCTCAAGAAACAAAAGAAACAATCAGTATTATCCAGTCCTTTCATTTCTTTATGGTGTGAGAATTTTGAGAAATGTATTGAATATTATCTCTCGAAATAAGTTGAAGTCGACATGAAAGAAAAATTAAATTTAGTTTTTTTGTATGATTTTCAAATCTATAATTATGTATTATGAGATGAAGGAAATTGTTTCTCGTAGCTCTTAGGACCAATGTTTCTAAGTTGCCAACAAAGGAGCTCATAAATTTGTACTTTGATTTAAAAATAATAAGTTTATTTTAAACAAAAGACATTAATTATACTTGTTTATATTTTATTGATATCTAAAAAGAAAACCATTTAAGGTAAATACCAATTAGATTTTTATTAAGTGTAAACTTTTTGCTGAATAAAAAAAAAAAGTCTTTTGTGAATAGCATAATTGTTCTTCAGTTCCAAAGAACAAAAATTTTTTGTTGCTTCCATTGCTGAAGAGTCCTTTTTTTAAATTTGAACAGTGTCTGATAGAAGTTTGATCTAACTTAATTTTCAAAGCTGAAATTTACAGTGTAATCCTGGTATTGGGAAATTCATTAATCATCATTTACCCTGGACTAGAAAACTTTTAGCTGTTTCGTTCAGCAGACTTGTGTTAGAATGCTGTTTTTTTTATGTCCAGTGCTGAGCCATGGCTGTCCAAATAAAATGAGAATATGATTCTGTAAAGATCATCTGGCAACTGATCCAACAAAGTGCGACCTCTTAGACTTATTGACCGAAGATTTGCTCTCTTTTAGAGATTGTGAGGAAATGAAATTGGTCAGCTCTTGAATAGATATCTAAACATTCCTTTATCAAGCTCACAGCCACAGCTAACACTCTGAGACTATAGATTGTTTTGATAGTTTCCTCTTATATAATAGACATATAAGCTTCTGGTAAAGCAGATTGCAACTTTTGATTAACTCTGATTTCCATGATGTGTGTCTTCTAAGCCATTATATTCTCTTTTCAAATCTTTTCAATCTCTTTAATAAAAATACACTCAACACATTTAGAAAGTGGGGTGAGTGAAAATAACTTTGTGATAATTTTTGTTACTTTTTTAAATATTTATATGATATTGGATCAATAAATCCGTACCCTAAAGTTTATTAGGGGAATTTTGATCTAAAATTTTCACAGTATAATGTTCAATCTATGTGATTAATATACACCATTGAATTAAGTGGATTGATGAGAAAGGTGATGATGTTCAAAAGTTTCTTTTTTTCATCATTCAGCTACAGACTAATTGATGGATCTGCATAGTTCCATTATTTTGAACACTATGATCTTTTTCAGAATTCCATTATTTACATTTCTTACCATTTTTATGGTCATTGTCTTTGCAATTATTTTGAAGAATATACCTTCTTAGTTATTGTATTTAAGTACCTGAAAATGTGTATATTTCTCTTGAAGTATCTCTGCTTTATGAACCCTGTCAAAAAGACAATAGCTCTGTGTTCATTAAATAAGAGTTGTAACAACCAAATGATCTCTGTGAGAATCAATATCATTTACCTTGCCATTTTATTGATTACATCAACAAAAAAGTTGCAATCCACTGAAATGTAATTTTCTCAGTGATTTAATAGAAAAACCTCTTTACTCTGAATTTTCTTCATTTTTTTTTCTCTACTTGTTTCACATTAGTGTATTGAATTTAATTATCAGAAAATCTGTTATTTCAGATGCACACTTTTTTGTATTTATTTATTCTGATTATAAATCTGTAAATATTTCTGCATATCTCTCATGGATTTTACAAAAGTACTAATGCACTTATCAAAGAGGATTGGTCACAAAACACTGGGGGTCTAAATACCATCAACTGTAACTCTAATAGGATTAGTTAAAACCAGTATCAGATCAGTCATCACATCTACTTTCCATGTTTCCAATATGTAACTCAAATTGGGTGGTTTTGTTATCTTAGATTTTACCTTGCATAATTTTCACGTGTGTTCATGATTCACTTATGTCAATGGCAAACTTCATCAGTTGGAAAAAAAAATTTAATCATAAAAAAAATCAGGATAAATCTTAACTAGTATTTTCAAATATCATATGTTTTTGTTATTATTTTGTTAACTTAAGTGTTGGAAATGAAAACTACTCCTGTGAAAGTATCATTTTTCTACTATCATCAGGGTAAAGTATGCAGATTTGAAATGATTTAACTGCGTGAACAAAAATATTTCTAACCTTGTAATTTTAAAACGTTTCTTTAGTTGCCTTTCTTGGGCTGGGCAGAAAGAATATGTTGATTGCATTATGGAACTGCATTTCTTTTATGCCAGTAATTGCATTATAACATTAATTAAAATAAATGGCTTATTCTACTTAATTATTAACATTTACCACCATTTCCGGATCTTATTTAATATTCAGTTATTAAAGAAAAATTCTGAAATGTCTTTTTTCTGCAAAGTTGGTTAAATGAATTTCACTTGATGCTATTTACTAAATAAGTTGTGAATTAAAAGATGAATAATTTCATAATTGGGAAAATGATTGAATTATCACTTTCATTTTATTTCATTACTTTCAATATAGAAATAAAATATATTGAATGTCTAAAAAAAAAAAATTGGGACTGCTGAAATATTTTATTGGATTGATTATTTTCATTTCTTCTGCTATCAAAAGGGGGAAGATACTTGGAGGTGCCATTAATTAAACTCAGAATTCTATCTTGGAGAGATTTAAAATTAATATAAAAGAAGCACTATTTTTATAATTTTTATTTATATTTGTTTTACATTTTTGCTCAACAATTCTTTTTAAAATTGCTTTTGACCTGACATGGAATGAAAATGTAAGACTTTTTAAAAAATTGTTTAGTTAACAATTATCTTTTAAAATATGTATGTGTATTTATGTTAAGATTTCTTGATTGGCACACACAGATAAATATACAAATTCATACAATACATTACTTTCAAGTGGCCATAAGCATAGACAAATCAAAAATGTATTATATATATTAATAACAAACATCTTGTTTTGTCAAAAAATAAATAAAAATTGGTTATTCCATTTCTGCAAGAAAATGTTAAATAGTTTGTCTTTGTAATTAAATATTTGCTCAATATCAAGAGATAAAGCATTAAACAACAAATAATTATATGTCAAAATTGTTTGGAGTTTTTACAGATATAATGTCTACTTTTTGGGTGTTTTGTTAGTAAAATCAAAAGGTGATTTACTTGTATATGTATTCTGTATCCTCATTCTTCAGCAGACAGGGACTTTGCTTCTTTGAGAATTTTTTTATTGCAAGCAGCAATGGATAAGTTTGAAGTGACAAAAAGGTTTTAAATGGTATAAGGTCTTGATTTTTCGTATTTCCTTGTAACAAATATATCTGATATGGTGTTCAGTTGGAAGTGAACTTGTGCACCATTTGTATGCACTTAAATGTATTTTTTCTCTTAGAGGTACATTGACTTTGAATGGCAAATTCAGGATTTTGATTGCTGATAATTTTTGATTTTTGTTGACTCTTGGGTAATTGGTTGTATTTTTTTTAAGAACTTTTTCTATCATATTTTTTGTCTCTGGACTTTTTTGTAGTGACAGTGATTCAAGTGGCCTGTAGACAATCAGCATTTATTTCAGCATCTCTATCTGCTTATTTTGTGTACAAAATAAAAAAAACAATAGCTAAAATTTTCTGGATGATTTTGATTGGTTGTTTGACTCTTGGGTATTTCTTTTTTATTTTCTATCATATTTTTGTCTCTGGACTTTTTTGACAGTGGCCTGTGAGAATTTCAGCATCTCTATCTGCTTATTTTGTGTACAAAATAATACAATTTAACTTTAAACAATAGATAAAATATTTCTGGATATTCTTGGCATAATGGTTCTCTCATATTTTGGTGATTATGACTTTTTCTGTGCGCTAAGAAATGCTATTGAGTTCCATATGTATCAACCATTTGAAGGAATCATTCCTGAAATTTTATTCAGATGAAGTGGCTTGAGAAATTTAAGAATCTCTTCCAACTTTAAACTCTTGTCTTTTAAAAACCAGAAAATGCAGAAAGGCTGGAGCCAAAATGTGATAAAAACAACAAAATAAAAAGTTCAAATTCCAAGAGTCAAAAATGTTCAGGTTCTAATATTTTTTCCTCTTTTTATTCTTTAGCTATTTATTTGCCCTCCAAGTGAAAAGGGATTTACGAACAGAAGAATTACCTTGCAGTAATAATACTCTTGCTCTCTTAGCCTCTTACATAGTTCAATGTAAGTATTACAGTTTTGTTATGGGTTTTTTAATCTCATTTTCATCTTATTGTATGTAAAATAATTCTTAGACAAAGGTAGCTTTAAGCTTAACCAGTCAATGTATATTTGTAAAAAAGAAATATTATCATAAGTTAAATATATTACTTGACAGAAGGATTTTTGGAGAATTTTAATTTCCATTTATTAACTTGCTTATATTATAACATTTACTGTTGAAAAAGAAACACTATGTAGCCTGTAATATTCTTGTTTTTGTTGAACTGTGCGCTTTCATGTGTAGATAGTGGAGATACTGGTAACAGATTTGAAAAAAAAAGTTAACTATAGCCACATTGCAATAATTGATCCCAATAAAATATTAGGAAGTAAAATTTTTCACTCTGTTATTTGTAGATATGAATAACTGTTTTGTCATATTTTTAATCTCTACTTTCTCCTTTTCACTTTCAGCTGAAATTGGTGATTTCCTTGAAGATGAGTACTTAGATACCTCCTATTTAACCTCATGTAAAATCTTACCACATCCGTCTCGAGAACTTGAACAGAAGATAATGGAGTATCACAGGCAGCATATGTGAGTATAAAACAGCAGTAATAAACCTGTCTTTTCCTGAAGAGAGATTTTTATTTGTTTCATCTTGGAGATGCAAGTGACTTAATAGTTGACAGCCTAGAAAATGGAACTGAGAAGCAGAGTTCAAATTCTAGCTGAGACAATTTGTGTCCACTTTGCACTCATGCCTTTGGGAAAGTCATGACTCCATCTCTTTACCTTGCCTCAACTATGGGTTAAATAGCAGGGAAGACTGGGTTCTGTAGCTTGGTTGTCAACCAGTCAAGAAAAATAACTCTAAATTTAAATCTTTTCCTACCCAGCCCTAATCTATGATCAAAAATAGCAAGAAAATAATAAGTGGAACTCATGGTCGCACATCATAAAAAGATAATTGCTAAAGTAAGATTGGCATGTCGGAGAAAAGACTGATCAAATCTCAGATCTTGACTCTAGTAAAACATTTGCATCTTCCTCCTCCTCACTACAGAGTAAGTCACTGACACATGACCAGCAATCACTTGACTAATGTGTCAGATATAACGTTTCATTTCTTTTTTTTAATTAGTATCAGCTATTTCAGCTTTCATCTGCTTTGGCAATTATAATTTGAGGTCTGACAAATTTATTTTAAAAATTGTTCAGTGTTGAGATTTCCTTCCCAGCTCAATTCATTTTGGTGAAAAAAGTTGATCTGTGAAAAGATGAGTTCTTCAATTTATACTTCAAATGAGATTTTATTGAACCCTTCTCATTTGAACAGAGGCTCTTTGGCCTTATTTCAATCCCCTGTGTTATGAATCCCTAAACATTGAAATGATAACAGATGTATTTCTATAATAAGAACAAAATAGTTCTACTGTAATTCATAAAATTAAATGTATAATGTTGCATTTACTTTTCTGTTGATTTTGACATATTTTTTCTATTTTTTGAAGAACTAAACAAATTTGAGATTTATATGAATTTCAAACAAATTGAATCTTTTAAAAATGTTTTTTTGCAAGTTTTACACATCTTTCTTGATTTACAAATACTTGACTTGTATGTACTTCTTTATTGCTGATTGTTATTGCAGGCATTTGTCAGGGAATTTCCATCTAACAACCAAATGGATTTTCATATTCAAATTCTAAGGACATTTTACAATTTTATTTCATTCTTATCCAACTATGGATTATAGTTTTATGGAATAACATTACAAACTATTTTTATGCTATCATCTGCACTGACTACAATATTAGTTTTGTTTTGTGATAAACATGTTGTTATAAATATTACAAACCTATAAACATTTATTTGTAGTGGCCAAGGTCCATCTGAAGCTGATATTAACTTACTTGATACAGCAAGGAAAATTGAACAGTATGGAATCCGAAATTTTCCAGCAAAGGTAACATTTTCTGACCACTTTTAATTCTATTAAATAAAAAAAAAAAGAAACTATTTCTAAGCCATAAGAAATGATCACTTCTGTTCAGTATTCAATATTATATTTTTGTATAAAATGCACAGTTTATTGGTTGTGGATTTCCTGTTTTCAGACGATCAGTCTAGGTTCCAACATCATGTGAAAATCAATAAAATGTTAATATTTATAAAACTAATAGTTCTAGCATCATCAAATTTTAAATGTTTTGCTTCATGTTTATACATTGTTGTGCATAAGAACCATTTTGTTGTTTTATTTTGTTTTTTTTTTTAATGTTGCTGAGCTATGTCTTCAGGAAGTGAATGCAGATAGAAGAGTTCATTTTGCCACCATTAACAATTCTCCAACCCACTCATTGCTAATGATACCTGCTCTAGAAATAACTCCTCTACCTCTTTGCTAATGTCCTCTACTTGTAGACAATTGGCTAAAGAGATCTTTCTTCAAACACCATCCTTTTCACCATTTGTTGGAACCATCCATTGGATGACAATGTTCAAACTGTCAGTGCAACTGCTGAATACTTAGCTAAATTAAGGCTTTTAAATAAGCAACTTACAGAATGGCTTACTTACAAACCAGATGGGGACCATATCAAATTTTGAGAGTATTGTTAAAAGATGCCTTTATGTAGGTAATTGTCACTTAAGAAAGGAACTTTAGGAAGTGTTATATTCCATGCTAATAGGAATATATACTTGAAAAACATGGATAAAATAAGTAAAGTTTTATTGTAAAAAACCATTACAATAAGAATAAAGGTAACAGTTATGCACAAAGTCGTCGCAAGTCAATCAAGTAGTGAGTGCTACTATTGGAAGGTCAGTAATTCTCGCATAAGTCTGAGTCATACTAAACAGATCTCAGCTAGATAATATTTACCAACCTCCCCACAAGGTAGGATGTGGCACAAGGCTGAATTTAATGTGGGGCAATCTGAGCCCACAGGCTTGACCAAAAGTTCCCTATAACCCACATAAACGGGTTTGGGTCTGTCTACCTCCTCGAATGAGACTCTGCCCTTTGGCATAGCCTCATCTGAGCTCCTCTCTGCCCAAAGGCAGACAGTTCGACAACAGCTGAAAGCTGAGTAACAGATCCCAGCTAGACTCTCTAGTCCATTGACTTACAGATAATTATAAGTAGTTACTACCTATAGTGTAGTCACTCATAGGGGTGACAGGTTATTCCATTACATCAAGAAGCAATATAAATAGTTTGTGAATGCATTAACTTTGAAGGAAATCTGAATTGAACATCATCTAAGGATAGAAAATTGTTTGGGGTTATATCAGCAAATAATGTCACATTTTACTGTGTTGTTTGACCAAACTTGTTATTGTTTGCTTTCTGTATCAATTTTTGGGAATAAATCATTGTATTTGGTAGTTTTTTTTCCTCCTATTACTTCAAGTTGATCCTTGCATATAAATTGGAATAATTCAATTGTTTTTCGGTATTTCACCATAAATTCTGTATTAGAACTGAAATTTTGTGATATTCTGCTAAATGTGAGTCATATGTTTGACTGAAATCAAATTCAAGGACTATTTCATAATTATCATTTTTTTGACTTGCATATAATGTTGTAATACATTGTACATCTTATACTCATATTTAAAAGGAATGTATGTTAATTCACTTACCATATGTAACAAAAAAGAAAGAATATTTGAAATACACAGATGCTTTATAATGAAGCTATTTGCCAGGGAAGTAATTTGAAACTCCAGTCGCAATGAATATTTACTTTTCATTTTTAAAGTTTAGTTTAATAATAAAACAGTTGTTGTATGGTTCAGCAACCAAGATGATTAGTTGAGGGAGGCTGAAAGAGAAGACAAATGACAATAATAACCTCTTGACATTAATGTTAAATCTCTTAATGATCTATCATTTCATTACCTGGCTTGAAAATACTTAAAGTAAATACATACTTATTGTAATTGCGAGATCATTAACATATTCAAATAAACTACAATCTCTTTCTTTATCACACACACATATATATATATATATATATATATATATATATATATATATAAACAACAAAATTCATCTAAACAAGCTTGGTCAAATTCAACTGAAAAGATTTGTCTGTTTTAAATGTTTTGTTTTTGTTTTTTTACTATATTTTTCGAGGATGTTCTATATTGAAATCAAAATTGTAGATAAACCATCCTAAACCGTTCATACTTTGTTCTGTTTTTGTTAAAATACTTTCAACCATCTCAGTCATTATCAAAAACTATATGTTGTCAGTATGGTAAACATGAATTTGTTAGCTCCATCCTGAAATTCAACTTAGATTGAATCATAAGTCATTTTCATTTCAAGGAACTAATATATCGTTCTAACTACTAATCATATGTAGCAGCTACAAATAAATTTGGTATACACTAACATAATTTAGTTTTTGCATGGCGGTGGCAGCATACATGGTGGATTAAAGAAAAAATGTTGTTCTCCTCCAAGACTATGCAAGTCTGAATACAGCATTGGAAGAAATTTTGGAACTTAGTTGGTCTGTTCTACCCAACCACCATATTCGTTGACTTTGTATTAATTATTATCTTTCCCAATTGCTACAAAGTGTTTTGATGGGGAAAACCTTCTAATGAAAACCAGATTCAAGAGTTTGTTGAAAAATCTTTCACATCAAAACATGCAGAATTTTACTCAAAATGTATCAAAGAGCTGCCTGATAAGTAGCAACAAGTTATTGTAACTAATGGTGAATATAAAATTGAATAAAATGTAATTGTACTTTACTCTTAAAGAATGAATTCAATAAACAAAAATGGAAATTATTTATGACTCAACCTAATAATTCAAATTCAGGGTGTGGCAGAAAGACCCTCCCGCATAATGGTAATACATTAGCTAGTCTACTATTTGTTTGTGCATTGAATATTGCCACCAGTTTCTTACCATTATGTGGGAGGTGTTTCTGCCACACCCTGTATATGCATATCATATAAATAACATCATGTTTACACAGAATTAGATTGCTTGAAACAGAATGGGCCTTATGCCACACTTAAGCTACACTTAGGAAATCACCTTTAATATGCTGTTTCCTGTGGTGATAGATATTTAATGCAAGTTGATTCTTTTGCATAACAGCTAGAATTTTGTCTTTGCAGTGAGTATTATATAGCATTTTCATATTATTTACTAATATTTGTCTCGGGTTAATACTTGTATTTGAGTTATTTGTGATGTGACGATTAAAATGTGCATTAATTTACACTAAGTTTTGACACGTGACAAGTCAACCTATTAGAGTGTATGGTGCTTATATAGCCAATGTAAGAATTTCATGTTTTTGGAATATTAATATTGGAGATGCAGTTTCCAAAGGATATGAAAATTCATAAACAACATTGGTCTGCTGCTAGGACTATGCTGTATTTGGTAGAATCTATCTTACACATTTATAAGTCTACCATTCATCTGAATATTGCTGTAACATCTGATCTGCTATATATTTAGAGATTCTTGATAAAATATTGGTCCTGACCTGGCAATGAAGTAACTAAGATGCAAGGCATTACTATAAAAGAATATGAAGGGGAAAAAAAAACAGAGAGGACAATAAAAGAACAAGCATTAAGAAAACATAAGATAACAATTGATATTGCATTTAAATTTTCACCAGTTCACCATACAGTGGAAGTCAGCTGTCCTCTAATCCTAAAAAGTAACTAGACCCTTTCAGTTTCCATTTCATAACCATGGACTCAATGCTCAAAATATTAGCTTGATGCAACACAATAGTATTGGGTATTCTTGATCTCCACAATAAAATGCATCTAGACAGCGTTTTTGTTTTTGACATTTTTCTTAATAAATTCTTCTTATACATAAATATAACGTCTTGCTATGCACTTTATTTATATGATGACCATCAACCATTCATTATCATTTGTGAAGTTGTTTATTTTCCATGTAACATTAGCAGACAGATAAATGATTTTCCTAACTTATCTCCCCTTGCTTATTTTTGTCTAAGGGAAGCAACCTGATTTTCATTCGAAATTTTATTTATAATTTATTAAAAAGTTTTTTTGCTAACATATGCAATCGATATCGTGAATCCGTTTATAATTTTTTAAAAATATAAACATTGTAATTTTCTTTATCTCTTATTTCATAAAATATTTATTTACAGACATTCTTATTAAAAGATATTGTAATTGGGCAACTACTTCATTTTATAAAGTGTTAAAAAAAATTTTTAATTTTTTTCTTTTTTTTTCAAAATCAAATGAAAAATTGGTATTAGTTTGTTTTAGATCAAACCTTTTTTCTAATAAATCCAGTTTTCATGAATTTTGGAATAGCTCAGTAAATTATTGAGACTGGGTTTTTCAAATTAGTTTCCAATTCAGTCCATAAATAATTTTTTATATTACAATTTTCATGACAAAAATTTATCTGAGAAAAAATACCCAGAAAAAATAAGGTTGTTTATAAGCTAGAAATAACTATTCATCCTCCATAAATGCGCTATTTTTTCTTTTTTTTTTTTTTTGTAAAGATACGTTCTGTTATTTTTGAAAAGTGTGTCTCTTTTCCCCATCCAAACTTTATCTGTAAAATGTGGCAGGATGGATCAATTAAAACATTGTGATGATAAAAACAAAATGAGTTGAGCAATCCAAATAGCTCTTGTAATATTTTCCTGTATTTTATAATATTTGGAATAGCAAATGGATAGATTTGCTGAAAAAATATATATATAATTTATAATTATTATTTACTGTTAAATATTAATTAATATGCACATTGCCTCTTGTTTTCATGATTTTGTTTAGTTTTCATTTTATTTCATTTCAGGACCATGAAGGAGTACATTTGAGCTTGGCTGTTGCACACATGGGAATTGTTGTTTTCCAAAACTTCACACGAATAAATACATTTTCTTGGGCCAAAATTAGAAAACTAAGTTTCAAACGGAAAAAATTTCTCATTAAGCTTCATCCTGAAAATTATGTAAGTATTTAGTTATTTAGAGATTTTTCAGAAAACCTATATTTACTGCCTTTTTTAGTCTTAATTCATGGTGATATAGATGAACCAGAGTATTATGGCCTTAAAAAGAAAAGAAATTAAATTGAAAACTTTAAAAGAAAATATGGATATAATTTATAACTGAGAACATGTTAATGAATTTAAAGATGATCAAGGCAAACAAAACATTAATATGATTTATATCTATATTAATTTGTAATTTTTGAACTACGATTACTTATTCTATGTTATCAATAATATTTTAATAAAGCTATTGCTTAATAAAAGAATAAAATTTTAATTTTGTATATAGACTTGGATTAAATTTATAATTGATTTTAATACTTAAAAATATGTTTCTCTATATTATTTTAAAAGGTAAGAAATCAGACTAATTGATAATTCAATCATCTTTTGTCTTTTGAAAATGTGCAGATGTATCATTAATGTTTGTATGTTTTGTTAAAAAAATAAGAGGCAATAAATCTTTTTAAAGCTGCATTTGCAATATTACTGTAAAACATTTTTGACATACTGGTCTTGAGATTTGTCTTATGTTAGATATGAATTTGTGCTACAAATTAAACTTAATTTTTCAAAAGTTCTTTTTTTTTTTTTAAATATATTGTGTAAGCTTTGTTCTCTCAATTATCTGTATAATTGCAGTCACAAGATAATTTAAATGGGTGTCAATATTCAGAGAACTTAAAATGATTACTTGAGTATTTATGCATCATTTTACTTACAATTATTACCACATGATGCAAAGAATAGTCAGTGCATTATATAAACAATTTCGCTGTAAATAACCAACAGTCCATTTTTTTATAACCATCTGTTAGTTATATTATTGCCAATTGGTTTTATATTTACTTAAGTATCAAAGTAATTGTTCTAAGTAATGTGGTTAATTGAAATGAGAGAATCTTATTTTATTACTGTTATTATTCTTATGTTGAACTAATGAATGTAATGAAAACTGAAAGAAAAAGCTTTTAAGCAGAAATGTATACAAAATACCTGAGTTATTTAATGCTTATGAATATATGGGAAAGAAGTTTACACTCTTTTCATGGACAAAATGGAAATTAACCAGATAGAATTTTTTTTAATATATGCTATTATCACTAAATATTACTTTGGGAAGTGAGTTGAGCCAAGAAATTTTCAGCACTTCCTCATATATTTAATATCAATAATGATTAATAACATTATTCTCTTTATTTTCAGGGTTACTACAAAGACATAGTTGAATTTTTCTTTGACAGCCGAAATGAATGCAAAGGATTTTGGAAAAAATGTATTGAGCACCATGCATTTTTTCGCTGTCATACTGTCAAGAAACTCCCTCGTAACAAAACAAGAGTTGTCAGTCGAGGATCTTCCTATAGGTTTGTATTTCTTATAGTTTTTCATTTTGGTATTTTGATTTTTAAAAATTAAAAAAAAATCATACACTTCTACGTACTGATCTTTTTGTTGCGATGTTAAAATTCTATATTCTTTTTTGCTGCTATGTTAAAATTTTAAAACAGGGAAGTATAATTATTAAAATTATATTGTATCTTCCATTAAATTCTTGATGTGAAAAACTTCATGTGGGTGAAATTTTTGTCAAGTCTACAATCAAGTTGTCAAATCCAACTCTTTCTATTGAGTTGGAACAAATATAGTGTTTTTCTATAAGGTAGCATCTGAATATCTTTAGTCTCATGCATGACTGAAATTCATACATATATCAGAAAAATGAGGTCAAAAAAGTCAACCATTTGTGATCTAGAATGTTTATCAGGATGGTTTGGGAACAAGTGGCAACAAGTTCTATATGAAGGTTAACAAGAAGATTCAATGTAAAGTTTGTAAACAATGGTTGAAAGGAAACAGAATAACAATGCTTGAAAGTTTATGTAAATCAGAAAAACAAACTTTATTTTACAATAACATTCCTGAAAGAGAATAATACACGAAAAAAGGGTTTCACTAATAATGGTTTTTATAGTGCTATGGGAATTTTCCCAGCCATTTAACACAAAATATTTAAAATAAAAAAGGTGATCTTTGTATTAACATTACAATTACAAATATTTACATTACAAACAGCACAAAAGAAAAGAAAAAAGGAATACTCAGATTTTTTTCACATTATTAACTGTTATAATTTTAATTAATAACAGTTTCAAACCACTTCTAGGGGGTCTTAAAAGCAGGTTATAAAATTTGATTTAACTCTTTCAGAAAATATATGCTTACAACAAATGAATTTTCTTGTTGAATAGAAGACCGTTTTGGCTTTTGTTGCAATTCTGTTGTCATGACGTTTGGCTTCTTCCTGTTTGATGTTTCAGTGAGTTGAAGGAGGAAGGGATGATGACGTCACTTCCATTCTGCCTATTAGGCAAGCTTCTCAAGCCTCCTACCAAAAATGTCCAAACACTCTGCCAATCTCTGTTGGAACTCTATCTTCCTCTCTGTATCTCTTTGTCTTTCTCCCTAAAACATGTGAATTCATGCTTTTATGTATGCCTAAAGCATGGCTAAGCCCAGATGAATATGAGAGTACCACATATGGGCAAAGTAAATACAATTTATCCCTTCTTTTATTTGCTGCGAATCAACCTTTTTTTAAAAAAAAAAACAAAAAAACAGACAGTAACTAAAAACATCTGCCAAATTTAGCACTTCTACATTAGTTTTTAATTTTAAAATAAAATATAGTGAATCAATAAAATAAATGTACATACATAAATGACAAAAGTTTATTTTTATTACTTTAATTTTAATTTTCAACAGATATTCTGAAGGTTGACATTTAAACACATTTTTCTATACAATTTGTGTATGGAATTTTAAATGGTTTTATTTTAAAATGGAAGAAAATGTCATACATTATTGTCATTTGATGCTTTTTTTATTTTTGTAAAGGAAAAAAATGTAGAAACAGCAAAAAAGGATATGTGCTGTTTATATAGATAGTGCCATACCTGAAAGGTCTGTTTGTAAGTGGTTTGCTAGGTTCAGAAGTGGACATTTTGACCCAGGTGACTGTGATGCTCCACATATCATATATGAGCATTGTAAAGCATTTCAAAAACACTTAAATATATGTATCACTACAATATTTGCATGCCCCATGATTTAGTGAAAAAAAAAGGTGCCCTCATTTCCATCTGCAATTCTCTGCTCAAACCCAGTAAGAGCTCATTTTTCATTTGCTATCCATCAGTTGTTCTCATCCTATTTGCTTTATGGTTCTCAAGTATCAAATAATTTTTTCAAACCTTCATGTCATAAATGGAATGCATTTTTCAAATCACAAGCAATGAAAAGTGAATTCTTTACGACAATGTGGAGTGAAAAAAAAAGGTCCTGAGGAAAATGAAATAAGCCATCATTATCCACTTCAAAAATCAGTCTGCATCTGAAGATGGTGAATGTTGTGTATCTGGTGAGATTGGAAGGGCATTGTGTATTACTAGCTCCCTTTACAAAAACTGGTATTGAATTCAAGCAACTACTGTTCCCAATTAGACCAATTAAATGCAGCAATTGATGAAACTGGCCAATCAGAAGGGTGTCATCTTTCATGAGGACAATGCCAACCTCACATCTCTTTGAAAACCTGGTAGAAATTGGTACAGCTTGGCTAGGATGACCTACTACAACCATCATTTTGCATTTAGATTAGTACTTATTTTGATCTACCAAATTCTCTTATTGAGAACTTCAATTTTCTGGAAGCCTCTAAAAATTACTTAGACTGTTCATCACCCAGAAAGACAACAAATTCTAGGAGGATTGAATCATGAACATGCTTCAGATATACCAAATTGGTGTGGAAATGAAATAATGCATATGTAGTTAAATAAATTTCTGTATAAATATTGAGAGCTTGTCTTTGAATTCATTTTAAAAACACTGTGGTCCTTAGTTCTGACCCAATGCATTGTCCTTGATAAACTTGTCAACATTCAGGTGATTACAAAGACCAAACAAGCAATTTATATTGTTATTGATTTTTTTGTGGTGGGGTGTTGTTTTCTAACTTTGAATAGATTTTTTTTTCCTAATATTGCATTTTTTCATTTTATATTTGCTGTGTTTTGAAGTTAATTTTTTGAAACTACAATTATCTTTATTTACATTTGAACTAATGTCTTCATCTTTGTTGTTATTATCACAATGTTTCAGTCATTGAGCCATTCAGCTTTCTTCAGATGTCTGTTGAACTGGGTAACATTCAGGGAACTTCATACTGAACCCTTTATTTAATCTAAAAGTATAAATTGTTCTTGTTCTGCGAAGCATATCTATGGATATCTCATCTTGTTCTTATTTAGTACTGCTCAGTCATTGCTTGCCTTGTTTCCTCTGAGTCTGTATTATCCAACCAAGGGATTGAACTCACAATTACTATGTCACCAAACTCACAAAGCAATGCTTTAATCCACTAGCTTGTCTGCTGGGACAATCCTGAACCTAGAATTTGAAGCCTTAAAAAAACTAATGTTCCTGTCTGCTGCTGATAGTGATGCCTTGCTGTATCACTGCCACTTCTTTTTTCTTATTGCTGGTATTTATTTCTATGCTAGGCCTACTGGCATATTCTTAGTCATGTTCTCTGCATTAGGCTTGACTCGGCAGAGATTTTTTTTCTGTAAGGTTGAGCTGCTTCTGAGTATTTTCCCAATTTTGTCTGTATTGCAAATCTTATGAATCCTTTCTGACAATCACTTTGTATAAGGGAGACGGATTGTGTTGATTTTCCAATACTCCTCCTCCTCCTCCCTTCTGTTTCTGTCTGCAGAACTTGACATTATATTTGCAGGCTAGTTGTTGTTATACATTTGATGATGAACATAAACTGTTGGTATATGTTTGGGTCACCACTTATGATTCTTGCATAATATTGTAAGCATCAGATGATCCATTTCAGGATTGTCCCACAAAAAAAAAAAAAAAAATAACCTAGTGAATTAAAGTGTTGGTTTGTGAATTTGGTAACATAATGATTGTGAGTTCAATCCCTGAAATGGATAATACAAACTTAAATTCAATGGCAACAGGGCAAAGCAATAACAGAGCAGTACTAAAAAGAGAACAAGATGAGATGATATCTTTAGACATGGTAGAGGAATGAAAATAATCTATTAAATAAAGGGTTCAGTTCAAAAAGTTACCCACATTGAAGAAGGCTGATATTATCAACAAAGATGAGGATATTAGTTCAAATATAAATAATCTAATGATAATTCCTCCTCCCAGATATTCAAACAGAAATTATACAATTATCTTGTAAAAATTAAAATTCTGTTTGTTAGTATACATCAAAAGTTTTTAAATTACTTTAGACAAGAGCATAAAGGAACCCAATTTTTCCTCATTGTCAGTCTGCAATGCATAAAACTTCATTTAGGTCCTTTCATAAAAGAAAATCCTTCATAGAGATTCAGAAAACCTTTCTGAATTTATGGATATTTTCTCTGATTTAATTAATAAAAAAGTTCAATCTTAAAAATATATTTTATACAAAACAAAGTAATGAATTTTGTTTGTCCATTATTTTGTTATTCATGTGTTTTTCTTATTTTAATATCTTTACAGGTATAGTGGTAAAACACAAAAGCAGCTGATGGAATATGTTCGGGAGAATTACTTTAAAAAGCGGACATTTGAAAGGTTCGTATGTTGTCATATTATTCACTTCGTTTTTATTTCTTTAACTGAAATTTGTTTTTTTAATTTGCCTTTATTTATTTATTTAAAATTTATTTAGGGATGTGTCTAACTTTTAAGTTTAAATCTGTCATTATAACTCTGTATTAATTAGATATTTCTGATATAGCCTCTGACAAAATGTCAAAATTTCAACATGTAGAAGTTTCATGAGATTCACTGAAAACACAAATATTTTACAATGTAGACAACAACAATTTCTGGAGATGTTACAAAGGTACATTGTAAATTTTATAAGTCATAGAGTTCATCTTCTTTCAACCAATATTTTTTTCTCTGGGTTTCAATTGCCTCCTTAGTCTATAAAATTCAAATCTCTGCTTTAATAAGCAATAAAGTTTCCTTGGTTTATTTCAATAACAACTTGATGACTTCCAGTTGAAATCAAAATTATCTTTAATCTGTGAGTTTTATTTCAAATCTATTAGTTTTTACACTGTACATTTGCATCAAGTGTGTGCCCTTTTATATTGGAGAGTTTTATTCATATTTTGCACAATTAATGTTTTTATTAATATAAAAGTAATAATGGAGGATTAAAGCTTTATTTCTGTTCTAATTAACAATAAACTATTAAAAATGTTAGCCATTTTATAGGCAAGTTATTTATATTTTGTAGGTGATCTGGATTCTCCTGCAACTCGACTATTCTTTTAGCATTGTCTTGAATATAATTTTGTTTTTGCGAAAGTATGGTAATGAGCCTTACCAATATAGCACTTGAGAGTGTTTATTTATTCAGCATTATCTTCCTATCTTTATATATGGCTAAGAATGCTTATAAAACTTCTGCTTTTGCCAGTCATGCAGTAAAAGGTGGTTATTCACTGTTGATAAAATTCTTGATGAAAACAAGTGAATATTGATGAGTGATGAATATTCATAAGCAATGCATGTGATGAAGATGATGATAAAGCATTAGAATCTAAGCCAGAGATTGGTCTAGATGTCAGTTACATAATTGCTAAAAATTATTGGATAAAAAATGGCTTATATCAAGAAAAGGAGGTGAAAAAAAAAAACTATTTGTATTGGCAAGGTGTAGTAAATGTTTTAGCATTTTCTTTTTTCCTGTACCAAGCGTTCAATGGTTCCATTGTCGATTTACATGAGTGCCATTTCACTGATCCTGTACAAGCCCAAATTGGTTCGCCTACTTTATACTTCCCCCAAACTTGTCTGTTGCATCACATATGATAAAAAGAAAAATGGTGTACCAATGAAAAATAAAGTTTTTGTTTCTATGATATGAAGAATTTTTATCAGGTTGTTTAAAATATACAGTTTAGTTAAAGGAAATAAGTAGGAAAATTATTAATTCACTGAAAACATTCTCTTTTAGCAACTTCCATTTTGACAGTACATTATCAATTCCGTTTCTAAAGAGTTCTTCAAAGAACTAATAAATTCACACTTTAAATTGATTTCAATTGGAGAAATTCTTGCCTGTAAGGAAATGATCTAGAATAATCTGTCAAAGAGGATATTGAGTAAATATTTGACAAGTAATAGTTTCTATCATTGATTCAACTTTAATAAATATCTTTTTATGCAACATTACTATGGGTGTTGTTAAGCTGCAAAATTACACTCTTTCTGTTTCACAAATTGGATTAACACTGACTTTTAAATGTGCTGTTCAAACTGGTCAACATGTCCTTACATGTTGACCAGTTTGAATAGAACATCACATGTTGACTAATTGAATAGCACATCACTTTTGTATATTCTACCTGGTATTTGCTATAACCTACTAAAGATGATAGTACACTTTATGTTGATGTTTTGATATCTTTTCTATATTCACTTATTGTGCAATCTTTTCCACATAATATGGAACATTTAGTTATTTCTATCATAAGTGAAAATTCAATGCAAAAACTAGATTAATGTCATATTATTGAATATGATTAATGCAGTCTTCCATATATCCAATTGCTTTGTTCTTCATTTGTTATGATTTTTCTTGACAATTGCTAAGGTTTTCCACTGACCTTTGTTTTAGCTTGCATTTTTTTTTAAAATCAGATCTTAATATTCAGTTTTACAATGTAGTAAAAATTAATGGAATAAAATAAAGTGAAATTTATATTTAATAATCAACAGTAATATGTAAAAACAAATAGAAAGCAGTAAAATGATAACGTTAAAACAAAATGATCAGTTTCATATTGATCAACCTTAATACATACATAATGAAAGATGCTATTGATTATCAATATTATCATCTGCTTTCTGTATATTACACTAAGTTTAAGTTTATTTATATCTGATTCAACATTGGTTGATTTTATTCTTTATTCAAAAATTAAAAAAAAAGAAAAAGTATCAAATTTTTAGTTTCTTACTCCAATTAATTCATTGACCACTTTCCCTAAAAATATATGGGGTAGAAATTTTGCCTTATAAAAGCAGATACTATCCTTCATAAAATCATATTACCTTTTCTCTTTTCATGTATTAGTGATCTAAAATTGAAATTTGATCATGAGGTCTCTGCTGACATCATGTTTACCCTCACAACATAAACTACCAGTACTTGAATCTGGCCTAACTCTATAATGTAATGAATATTAAATGTTAAAGGGACAACATTATTGTATATGAATAAGAAAATAAGCTTTAACTGAAGTAAAGCTACGAATTTGATAGCAAGATATAAATTTTAATTTTATTTCATTTGTAACCATTCTTTTATATGAACCATTTACAGAAAAGTATTTCAAAACAATTTCTCCTTTACATTGTCTTGATCCATATAAATGCTATTGTCTGCTTGAAAGTCATGTCTTTATTCTTTGACATAGAATTTAGATATTTTTAAACACAATTGAATTATACAAATAATAGAAAGTCACCCCAGATATCACTTTGGTTATTGTGGCTGTACTTTTGCTTCTCCTCCTTTGAAAGTAAGTTTGAATGTACTTTCAAATTTAACATTCAGTAGATCATTGCATCACTTGTAAAGATCAATCAACCCTGCTATTTAACATTAAGCTGATCAAAGATATAAATTAACTCCATCCTTATCAAACTGCTCTTACTGTTCTTTTGAATGTGTGTGCAACTATTTAATATATCAAAGCTATTGTTTATACATTGTTGTTGACCTGGAAAGAAAACACATGATTATTTAAAGGCTAACAAAAAATGAACAGTAAGCTTAATGTTAGTCTTATTTTATCTTTGCCTGTTGCAAAAATATTACATTAAAAGAAAACTTACTTTAAACAGAAAAATACTTGTGTAAAAATAATTTTTTAATGATCATAATCATGAGTTCAGTTTCAAAATGTCTATCATCATTTTTAGTTTAATTCCAGCCATTATGAGGGACTTTTATAGACTTATTTTTTTATCAGCATAAAACTAATAGAAATATACATTATTAAATTTTTGTCTTTCTATAGTTTAACATTACTCTATATTTAATTTTAATAGTCATTTAAATACATTTTATACTTTGGGATATAAAATGTTTAGATTTTTCTAAATAGTTAATTTTACAAATCTTTTGTTGAATCTAAATCAATCAAATAGTTTAATTTATGTAAACTTTTCTTGTCATTAAATTAGGATGTGTTATCTGAATGGACAAAAACTTAAAACTCTTTTTACATAGATTTTATAATAAATAATTTATTTAATAAAAGTAACAAATTACTTTTGTCTTATTCTGTTAATCTTTGTTTATTTTGGCACTGCATATATATATATATATATATATATATATATATATATATATATATATATTATATATTTCAATGGTTCCAAGATTTGAAAAAGGTCTCTACAATTTAAGAAACATGACAGTAATTAATGAAGTTTTATCTATAAAGCTTAATGAAAAAAAATCAAATCTCTTGTTGGAATTTTATTTGTATACTATTCATTGCAGTTAAATGCACCCACCCCGATAAAAAATCCCCAAAACTTGGTGTTTCTTATAACAGAAATGCACAAAAGGTGGGTTTTTTTTTTCATTCTGTTAAACAGAAAAATTACATTGATTAAGTGCTTAATGATAGTGCAACAACACTAAAAATCCCTATCAATTGCACAACTTGATGGTTCTCTTCAACCAGTAATACAAAGAATAATGCCACAGGATGTAATCCATTTCAAAAGCTTCCTGAATATATTATATCAGCTCTTCTTATAATGCCACATTGAAATGCTGAGTTCAAGGTGGGGACAGGGTGTCAGTAGCATGAGTAATGTAGAATGAAAACTTTGAAACGAAATCAGAACTTCTGCTTTCTATTTTTATTGTTAAATTTGGACTACTTAGATACAAGAAATTTGCTTGGCAAGGGAAATGCAATTGCAATGATAAAGTTCTTTCTCAATCTTTAAAAGATATTGGTGCAAAAGCACTCAAGATACTTGTCAACCAATGATGATACACTACATTCCAACATTATATTAAAATCAATAAAATGATAATAATTATAAATCTAATGGTTCTAGAGTCATTGAATGTTGGTCAAATAGAGGTTGTATGTTGGTATGGAATATCACAAAATCTTAGATCATCTTTAAATATAGAATATACAAAATATGAATATTTAAACCATTCCATGTTATATGCAAACATGTCAAAGGAATTTGAATTGATAGGAGGGGGAAAAAAAGAATGACAATGACCAAACACAACAATGATTTATTCAAAGGAATGACATGAAATAAAGTATGACAAGTTTAGTCATATAACACAGTAGAAAAGTAATTTTATTTGCTGATATAATTTCCATTTTTTTCTGAAGACTTCAAGCAGCCACATGTCCATAGAAAACATTTAATTCAGAAATCCTTCAGGGTAATGAATGGCTTCCCAAAGTTCATTCTTAGATGAAAATTGTTTACTGTCTTCATAAAGGCATTTCTAGACAGTTCTCAAAAGATTTTCAATGGGGTTAAGGTCTTGTGAACAAAGCAGA